TATATTTATAATTGAGTCACTGACAGGTCTGTGTGAATTGTGCAGGAGTCGTAGAGGATCGCGTTGCAATGGCTGCTCAGCAGCATGAGGTTGTGGTTGTGGAACAACAGCCAGAGGAGCAGGAGATGGTCGAAGCTCAGACTGCTGTCGTCAGTGTGGTAGAGGCCGATTCCCAAGAGGTTCTCCATCAGGTTCACTTCACAATGGAGGTGAATGGAATGACACAGGAGCAACAGGTGAGTACAGAAAGGGTGCTACATTTTTGTAATGATAAAGGAAAAGTGGAGTTGAGTGTTTCAGTATGAGATGGTTCTGCTTGTAACTCTAATACAACCTTTTTTCTGTCTTCCTGTTGCTCTGAATCTGACCAGGTTGTGGTAGAGCAGTCTCAGGCGGAAGCCCTGGCTGCTGCTGCAGCAGCAAGCGACAACCTCGTCTGCGAGGCCATCATCAATTCTGGCTTCGCACTGGGGACAGAGGAAGCCGTGGTTGAGGAGACCTCGGAGGAAACTGAGGAAATAGAAAAAGAGGTTTCTGACTGTCCTGATGTTGATGAGAGTGTCACTGAGATCCAGGTGAAGGAAGAGTTTGTGGAGATGGAGACGGAGGTAAAGATGACAGTAATTAGTAATAACCAGTACGTTTACTGTATTGCTTTCTGCAGTTTGTCCTTTTTAAATATTAGTTTGACATTACTCTAAAAGTACTAGAACTGACTGCTCAAAAGTCAAAGTCAGCTTTATTGTCCATCCATCCATCCATTTTCCTCCGCTTATCCGGGGTCGGGTCGCGGTGGCAGCAGGCCAAGCAGGCTGACCCAGACCTCCCTCTCACCGGCAACATGTTCCAGCTCATTCTGGGGGATCCCGAGGCGTTCCCAGGCCAGCTGGGAGATGTAATCCCTCCAGCGTGTTCTGGGTCTTCCCCGGGGTCTCTTCCCAGTTGGACGTGCCTGGAAAACCTCCAGTGGGAGGCGTCCAGGAGGCATCCTAATTAGATGCCCGAACCACCTCAGCTGACTCCTTTCGACGCGAAGGAGTAGCGGCTCTACTCCAAGCTCCCTCCTGATGACCGAGCTCCTTACCCTATCTCTAAGGCTGAGCCCGGCCACCCTACGGAGGAAGCTCATTTCAGCCGCTTGTAGCCGCGACCTTGTCCTTTCGGTCACGACCCAGAGTTCGTGACCATAGGTGAGGGTAGGAACGTAGACCGAGTGGTAAATTGAGAGCTTTGCCTTCCGGCTCAGCTCCCTCTTCACCAGGACGGTCCGGTGCAGCGCCTGCTTTACTGCTGCAGCTGCACCGATCCGCCTGTCGATCTCCCGCTCCATCTTACCCTCACTCGTGAACAAGACCCCGAGATACTTAAACTCCTTCGCTTGAGGTAGGCACTCCGTCCCCACCTGGAGGGAGCA